ATGAGGAATAGGGCAACAGAGATGGCTCAGGGGGTCAAAGCACTTGCTGTCAAGTCTGATGACCTGGGCTTGATCCCTGGGACTCACATTGTAGAAAGAGAGAACCAACTCTGAAATGTTGTCCTCTGACCTCTACACATGTGCCATGGCACTCATGTTCACACATCCTTCACACACACACACACACACACACACACACACACACTCAAATGTACTGAAAAGTAAAAATAAAAGAGGAACAAAGTTTCTTTGTTTGAAATAACTATTACTTTTAAGATACGTAAGTTTTTTAAGACAAATGGAGAGCTGGAGAAAGTAAAATTACTTTAGACATACGTTAAAAAAAATTTTTTTTTGGCCAGTTCCAGCTGGCCTGGAACTCGCTATGTAGACCAGGCTGGCCTCAAACTCACAGAGACACGCCTGCCTCTGCATCCCAAGTGCTAGGATTAAAGGCCTGTGCCACCATACCAGGCTAGACATATGTTAAAATTTTAAGAAAGGATTATATACTTTAAAAAAAAAAAGTATTCCCAAAGAATGGAGAGTACAGGATAGTAAAAAGATACTGTGAAAATTAAGGAACACAAAAGGAAGGATCAATAGATAGATAGATAGATAGATAGATAGATAGATAGATAGATAGATAGATAGACATATATATATATATATATCAAAAGCCTAGTAATGAAATGCTTTATAAAAATCAAGTAATTGATACTTAAAAGTTCAACTAGGAAAGTCTACTGATCTTCTAGGACAGCCTAATTCGGGTAAGAGAAGTCACAGACTTCTACAATATAACAAGCAGCACAATCAAGTGCAGACAGGTGAGGACTCAAAATTATAATCACCAAAGTCAACTGTGAAAGTCCCTGAAACTCCATGCTTCCCGCTCTAGTGACAGAGATATAACAATGTTCACCGTGATTATTTAAAAGGAATTTTTTTCTCAGGTGGACAGTAGATAAATAAAAGCTTAGGAAAAGTCTAAAAGTCACGTATTAATAAAATATATAGTATTAGCACTCAAAGCACCAATTAATATAATTAATAAGCTATCTCCTAATGAAATAGGAAACAAAATTGTAAATCTGTTTTTCAAGGGGGCTTTTCTTCCCTCGGTTTTCTCAAAGGGCCATTAATGGTCAAGTAATTAACTCAAATCAAAGAGGGAAAAGCAGAGGGCAGGAAAGCTGGCTCACAGCATTTCCTGGCAAAGTGGACAGGTGGGGAGCCAGCTCAGGGTTGCGTGGAGTGGACAAGACCACCAAAGAGCAGAGCAAATTTGAAGGAAAGCAACAAAAGGTTCACATGCTTTCCGTTTTCTCCTCATAGGCTCCATCTCACTCCAAAAAGTTTGCCCAAAACATTTACCAGGCTCCACATCTTTACCACTGTTTGAGATAACTGGATTTATTTCCACTAAATGACTCCATAGGACTCCAGGAATGAGTATGCTATTCTTAGGATGCCAAGAAGTGCAGTGAGGTTAAGGAGCAGCAGGAGAAGGGGGAGAGGAAAGGAGGCAAGGCAGATGGGAAGAAAGGAGAAAGGGGAAGAAGACAGGGAACAGGATCCCAGGCACCAATGGAGAATGGCCTTCAGTGCACTTCCTATCTGGTGTGCGCTGGAAGTACAGTTGCTTCACAGAATGTGGCTCTGGCTACCAAGAAAGGACAGCCTGCCAAACAATGACAAGTACATTTTTCAAACCCTCCAAATGAACTAAGCTATTTGGCTGCTTCCAGCACTGACCTTCCCAAGATAAAGCATGTTTCATATAGACAGCCTACTTCAGAGTAACCAACAAGCCCTTACCAAAAAGAACTTCTGAAAAAAATACTGTTCATGCATATAGAAAGCAATGCATATAAAATAGCTGAGGTCTAATTTCAGTCTCAGTTTTACTCTCATTTTTAAAAACAAATGCTTCAGAGCCGGGCGTGGTGGCGCACGCCTTTAATCCCAGCAGAGGCAGAGGCAGGCGTATCTCGGTGAGTTCAAGGCCAGCCTGGTCTACACAGTGAGTTCCAGGACAGCTGGAGCTACAGGGAGACCATCTCAAAAAAAAAAAAAAAAAAAAAAAAATGCCTTCGAGTCAACAGCTAAACTGAAACAGAAGCAGTACCTACCAAGTTCCAATATGCTTCCCGAATGTCCTATAAAACTATGGTCCCAATTACAAGTAATAGTATTGCTTTCCAAATAATGAAGGCTATAGTTTATGTCTTATAAACTATAAATACATTTTATATTTATCATGAGAAGAATCAGTGAACACAGCAACAATTACACTGACATTTGTGAAAACATGCTGGAATAAATCCGTGTGTGTGTGTTATTCTGTAGCTCATGTTAGCTTGAAACTCACTTTTATACCAGCCCTGCCTCAAACTTGTGGTGATCCTCCTCCTGCCTGTCTTCTGAGTGCTGAGATTTCAAATGTATCACCACACAAAGCATTTGGATCATTTTGTAAAGTATTGTGACAATGGTTACTATACCGAAGTCTAAAAACAGAAACTACAAGAGGCCTTAGACTAGGTTAAGCAGTGTGGACTTTCTCTGCTGGTGGAAACGTTGAAAACTGTATCAACAGAATATCAAGATCAAAAGAGATGTTTCCAAAATATAAAACTAGTGGAAATATAAAATATAAAAGATGCTTTGGTAGGGTCTAGGAGCCAAATGATGGGCAGAATGATTAAAGAGGTCCTCAGTGGCCAGACCCAGGCTCAGGGAGGACTTAGAGGCAGAAAGCAGAGGTAGATGCAAGGAAACTCAAAGAAGGAAGAAGTTCCCATACCTTCTGCCTGGTGACTAAGCGGTGACTAATCTTGGGAAAGTGCAGTAGGGGAGACAAGGAAAATAGAAAACGAGAGGGAGGAATAGGAAATTATTTCCAGGGCAACAGAAAAAAAGATGGTGCTATTAATGGAAGCAGAAACGCAACTGACATCTCTCTCAGTACAAAAATAATTCACTTTTAGTCAAAATGAGTTAAGATAAGGTACTTGAGGCTCCAGGCTACTGTTTTTCATGGCAAAATGCTTAAAAGCTTGTCAGTCTGCCATGTATCCTGGACACTAAATTCTTGCCATAGAATTAACAGCAACAAATAATAACAATAAATAATTAACAGTATTTGCAAAATACCCCATCAACTCCAAAGCATTTAAATGCTAATTCATGATGAAAGACAGAGTATATTTTCAGTCAGAATTCCTGTACAAATTAAACCTAAAAGCTACACCTTGGGGGCCAATAAAATGTCCCACAATATAAAATAAATCCATCTAAAAATGTCTGGAAAAGAGATTTATTTGTTTGATTGATTGATGTTTGCTGTCTTTTTAAAACAAGGTCTTCCTGTAGCTGAAGCTGGCCAGGAACTCACTATGTTCCAGACACTCAAATCTCACAGAGATCAGCATGCCTCTGCCTTCTGAGTGCTGAGATTAAAGGTGTGAGTCACCACACCAAGGGAAAAGAGATTTTTAAGTGGCAAATTAACTAAAAGGACTACATACTCAAAGGTACAGCACAAATTTACCATACTTGAGTTGAATCTCTAGACCTACCCTTAACTCCAAAAAGAGATTACATGAAATGTGAAAGTGATTAAATGTTGCCTGCAGTTTTGTTTTGTTTTTATCATTTTGGAAAATCTGGGCACAGGTCTCACAGGAAGTACTGTGATTGGAAATAAACCTGAGTTTGTTGTATAAAACTATGTCTGGTTTCCATCAGCTTCACCAACTGTCTGTGTTACTGTAAAGACTGTTACCATAATAATAGTCAGCAGCATTCAGAAAAATGGTGGGAATACATTCTAAAGAATGTCTCAACATGCCAGGTGTGGTGGCCTAAACCTTCTTTAATCCCAGCACTAGGGAGGCAGAGGCAGGTGGATCTCTGATTTCAAGGCCAGCCTGGTCTACACAGGCTCGAGACCCTGTCTCAAAAAAAAAAAAAAAAAAAAAAAGAATGTCTTCTCAACAATCGCAGACAAATACTAAGGCCACCCTCAAATTACATATATATTAGCAAAATGGTCCTATCCAAGTCAAAATTATCCTGTACCCCTTCCAAAAATGAACACCTTGCAGGGAAAAATGTGGTAACAAAAATATGTTTTTACCACATTTAAGTGATTAGGTGCTTAGAAATAACCAAATAAAGTTTCTTTCTTCAAAAACGATGTAATAAACACCATAAAACACGAGGTGAATACTCATTAAATCAGTATTTCTAACACTAACATGGGATGTAGTGAGAATGACCTCAGCGTTGAGTAAAATCACACACAACATTTAATCCAAAACTGACAAAAACTGTTAGAAATCCTCACGGACAGGGTAATTTGAAAGCCTAAGTGAACTGTTAAATGCTGTAGCATTCAAATGACCTGGAGCAAGAGAAAACTCAGCAAACATCCTAGCTCTATCAGAACAACGACCTAAATAGTGAATCACTATAAAAAGAGAGGATGACACATTCGATTCATCTGGTCGACCTCAAATCCGCAAAGGTCTCACAGTCCCAAAACACGAATTTAATGCAACAACATGGGCACTTTAGTCATCGGAGTGTCTGGAAAAGGAGTGAGAAGAAACAATAAGAATAAAAGGGGGGGAAATGGAAGGGCGTGAGGGGGAAGGACTGAGGAAGAGGCTAACCAGTACAGAAGAAAAAGTTCAGAGACAAGTGACCCAAGCCTAAGTGACAGAAGCCGCGAGAAATCTCGTAGAAGCAGTTTGTACTGATTTCCTACTTTTCCTGAAGGTTCTGTCCAGATCTTCCACGCTCTCTGCCGGTGATCTGGGCCAGTTGGAAGAAGTTGGGGACAGGGTGAAAGTAGATGGTGAGTGCTAGGCTGGGTCATCCCCGCACACGTCTCCACCCTCCGGGAGCGGAGCGGCCCGGGGATGCAGTGGTGGCCGCAGAGGCCAGGGTGAGCGCGCGGTGGGGGAGGGGACCGGAGCGCGGCCACTTACGAGGACGCGCTGGGCACGAAGAAGTCCACAGCGAAGCCGAAGTAACTTCCCTCGGGGCCGGAGTACTCGGACGGGCTGTCCACGTCCAGGTTGAAGGCGCCGCCGAGGGGCAGCAGGAGGCCGGGGAGCAGCAGCAGGAGGCCGCGGGGCCGAGGGCGCCCGGGCGCAGCCATCGCCGGACGTGCAGCCCCAAGGCGACCGTCCCTGTCCGGGCGCTCGGTGCCCGGCCCGCCGCCTGAGCTCACCCGAGCTGGCCCGGGCTAGGTCGCTGCAAGGCCGGCGGCGCAGCGAGACGTGCGGGCTGATCCGGGCAGGGCGGGGCGGCCGCTGGGAAAGCGCGGCGGGGCGCCGGGCTAGGGCTCGGGCACTCGCGCGGTGCCGGGCGCCGTGGGGACTGGCGGGGCAGCGCCGCCCCTCGGGCCTGGAGCTGCCGGTCTAGGGGAGGAGGCGGGGAGGAGCCGGAGGTTGGGCCGGCAGCCGAAGGAGGAAGTCGCGCCGCGCCGCCTCCCCCTGGACAGGCTCGCAGCACTTCCGTGCGCGAAATCCTGGCGGGTCCTCGGAACCGGCTCGGGCCGCGTTCGGAACCTCGGAGCCCCGCAGCGAGCGCTGCGACCACTCGGACTCCTACCGAGCTCCGCGCAGTGGCGACGGTCGGACCGCAGTGCCTCCGAGCCCCGCGGCCGGCGGCAACTTCTGAGAGACTTTTGTTTCCGAATGCGGAAAGCTTTCCCCGCTTTTCTTGGGTCTGCCGCCCAGCCCGACTGGCGCTCACCGACGGAACTCGGTAATTAGATGGCATTCCCTCCCCTTCCATCCCACACACAACTTAATTACAAACTTCCAGAAAAGGAGCAGGGGCCCTCCCGGATAGGCACGGTGTGGAAGCTGGATCTCACTGGCTGACACAGCGTTGGTAAGGCACAGGTGAGGCAGGGAGCCTTTCAAGTCCTGCCCTTGGGCCAGGATTCCTGGGTTGGGTGGCATCATTTCAGACAACCGATGACTGATTTAGGATGTTCAGGTGTGTGTGACTGTAGAGTTGGGAAAAGGAACATGGACCATGGAAATAAGACCCCTCGTGGCTCCCATTCCCTCCGCAACAACCCTGGACTCAGCGGTCCTTCTGGACAGGAACTTGACCTGCTTTATATTCCCAGTCCCTACCACCTGGTCAGAAATATTATCAATAAACTGTTCAATCAGTGACTGAATGGCAGATGAAATGAAGAGTGAACTTTTCTCAGAGTTCCTGTGTTGTGTATCACATGCTAAAGAATTTGGTGACAGGACTGGAGAGATGGCTCAGTGGCTCAGCAGTGGTTACGAGCTCTTGCGGAGGATTGGAGTTTGGTTCCCAGCTCCCACAACCTGCTACCACCTGTAACTCCGGTTCCAGGAGCTCCGGTGCCCTTTTCTGCCTTCTGTAGGCATTGCATGTGCATGAATTACTTATATACATGCAGGCAAAACACCCATACATATAAAAATAAAGTACTTCTATTAAAAGAAGAAATTGGTGGTAAGGATAAATATAAATGCATCGTGTGGACCTTGAATACTTGAAAGTACTCTAATGGAAATTTTGAACTATTTTCCAAAGTAATTATTAAAACTCAATCACAGACCAAATACTGAGGCAGGAGACCCCCTTTAGCCCAGGGGCTCAAGAAGATCGCAGGCAACAGAGGGAGAGCCCTCTCAAGCAACAACAAAAAGCACCTCCATGACAGCATACATTCATCACGCATTAAAGACACGTGTGCACTATGTGCATATGCTTAATTGCATTTAGCATTTTGATTTTTAAATTTCACTGAAAGATTTGTAACAAAATCTTTGGAATCCAGCATCTTTGTAAAAGAAATTACTAAGACAGGAAATCCTACATGAATATTTACATAAATACAATGCATCTGTCTCCTCGTTTTTTAATATATTTTATTTATTTTTATTTTTTGCGTATGAGTGTATTGTCTACATGTATGTGAGTGCACCCATGTCGTGCAATGCCTGCGGACGTCAGAAGAGGCCGTCAGATTCCCTGGAACTGGAGTTACTGATGGTTGTGAGCTGCTATGTGGGTGCTGGGAATTGAAACCAGGTCCTCTGTAAGAGCAGTCAGTGCTCTTAACTACTGAGCCATCTCTCCAGCCCCACTATGTTTCTTAATGTGTACAGAAACACAAAGATTCCATACACTGTGAAAACCTGAGAGCCAGTCCAGGTAAAGGCCCATCTAGGAATGAAGAGGAGAAGAAAGTTTAAGCTGTGGCTCAATAGAGTAAGCCTCTCACTCTCAATGTCCTGACCTAGAACAGAAATCTTAGCAGACTGGAAGACCAAAGGAAGAGATGCAAGAGAGGCATGGAAAGGAAAAGGCTGAAGGAATGGCAGCTCACACACCCACTCAAACCTGAGAGAGAGTAGGACTCAAACTGCTACTAAAAGTAGTTGGGGAAATAGCTCAGCAGTCAAGAGGACATACTGCTCTTGCAGAGGATCTGAGTTGGGTTCCCAGCACCCATGTCACAGACTTCACAACTGCTTACAACTCCAGTTCCAGAGGGATCCAACACCTCTGGTCTGGGCACCCACGCACATGTGCACATACCCACACACAAACACACACACATACACATAATTAAAAATAAATCTTTAAGGGGCTGGAGCAATGGCTCAGCAGTTAAGAGCACTGACTGCTCTTGCAGAGGACAAGGGTTCAGATTCCAGCACCCATATGGTTGATAACAACCATCTATAACTCCAGTTCCAGGGGATCTGATGCCCTATTCTGACCTCTGTGAGCATTGCAGGACATGGGTGCACTTACATACATACAAACAATACACATACACACAAAATAAAAATATAATAAATGAAATATTTTTGAAAATAAAAATAAGTCTTGCCGGGCGTGGTGGCGCACACCTTAAATCCTAGCGCTTGGGAGGCAGAGGTAAGTGGATCTCTGAGTTCAAGGACAGCCTGGTCTACATAGTGAGTTCCAGGACAGCTGGGGGGCTACAGGGAGACCCTGTCTCAAAAAGACAAAAAAAAAAAAAAAGCTTGCATGGCTAGCAGACTAACCTAGTACGTCATGGACTTCATGGACAACTTGGATTATACATGCAAATCTACTTGTGTGACCCTGGTTGAGCAGCTATTCAGTCCCTGTCTTTCAAAACAGCATTACAGAATCTAGATTCAGCCAATGCTTGTTCAAGATCCACATTGTCCTTGGTTTTTGGAGGGAAAAGTATGTTTTATTCCCTGTAAGAAAATCAGGGCCCCTGTGCACCCCACAGCACTACTCCTTATTAAGAACATTGTTCCAGTTTTCAACTTAAAAGAACTGCCAAAACTAAGTTAGGTAGAATGTCCTTTTTACAAAGAAAATAAAATGGTAGGTAGTAAAAGGGATTTTTACTTGGAATGCTGCCCACTACCCTAAAATACTGACAGCTTTTAGGTTGTATAAATTCAAGCACCTGGGTTCAATTCTTGGCTTCACCAACTTTTTGTTGTGTGACCCCAGGGAAATCAATCCAACCTCTTGTGCCTCAGTGTTTTTCTCTATAAAAATTGAAGTAATACTTGTAACTATCTCAGAATTGAACAATCCCTGTTGCCACTAACATAGTCATAATAATAAATTTGAATGACAGTTATTACAGTCTCTTAGTTCTGCTACTTATCCATGGGTCTTTTGATAGCCATAATCAAACCAGGGCTCCATGTGGCTTTGTTTCCACACATAAAGGATCTCACTTCAGCTAGGCTAAAATATTTAGGAGACATTTCAATTTTTGTCCTTAAAGAACAGCAAAAGAAAGGTCCAGTTCCTAAACCATGGAAACCTATGGGAATGAATGACTTCTGGGACAAATGACTTTAACTTAACCTTGTAGCCAAAAGGTTAATCTTCTGTTTTTAGGTCATTTAACACTACCTCCACTTGTTTATAATGTAAACACGCTTACTAGACCTTGGGCATCTCTTGTAGCCTAAATATATAGCTTTAATTGCTCATGACCCTTCCTTACCCTCCGGAATATGTGTGTGTGTGTGTGTGTGTGTGTGTGTGCGTGCGTGCGCGCATATGTGTATGGGTGCATATGAAGCTCTGAGAGCAGCAAATATTCCTTAGAAGAAGAATTATCTCACTTGTGTTGCAAATGATAGATGAAATTAAATTGATAACATCTGTTTGTGCTTATAGGCACTGTTCTAGGTCAATAAGAGTCAGAAAGAGCAAAATCCTTGTCTGAGAAGATAAGGACGTGCTTTTATTTCCTTGTTTCATACTGAATGTATGGTTTCGATAAACAGAGCCAGGCCTTGGTTCTAGAGCAAAGCTCTAGGAGAAATCTGAAGGAACAGGTTCTCAGAGCAGTTCAGGTCCCACGCGGTTGAAATGGATGCTGAGTCAAGCTGTTTTGATTTAGGCATTGCCATAATGTGGCACTGTACCAGCTGCAGAAACCTTTTTGAAATCTCTTTAACCACTCCATTTCTCCAGAGCCTTTGTTCCACTGAACACAATCCTAGCGTTTTTATTGTTGTTTGCCTAATTCTCTCCTGACTCTCTCTTCCTACCTATTGATTGCAGAGATGGATGGTCTCTTTGGCTTCTTCCGTGTGCTCAATGCTATTTTCTTATTTGATATTTATTAGAAACAATCCCAGCCAAAATAATGATCTTTGGATGAGTTGCAAAGAAAAAGAGAAGGCAGGACACTCCTTTCTAGTCTGCCTTTCTCCAGGTGCCCCATTCAGTGCTAGAGGTCAGTCTTTGTCTCTCACTGTTTCTCATCCCCATATCTCCAGGATGAGCTTACTCATTGTTGAGCTCTCAAATGCTACCCACTGCTCCAACTCCCAAAGGAGCCTTAGGAATATTAAGTCATTTACTCTTTCCACAGAATGCTGTCTTTGTTCATTCAGCTCCTCTTCCTGGAAAACATTAGCCCTCCTCCTTAGCCACTTCCCTCAACCCATCCTCCTGACAAAACAAACCTACAGTTTCCTCTACATGGTTTGTTCCTACTCTTCTAAGACTTGCATCATATGTCATATGCTCCAGGAACTTTTCTTATAGGATCCATAACCTATACCTTTATGTCCTGTGAGTTCAACAGAGTCACAGAAATTTATTCTATTATCAGAAACTATAACTAACATTTGTTTAACTGATTCACCATATACTGGGTATTATGCTATGCATTTTTTGTATCAAGTTACTTATTAGTCACAGAACCCTGTCAAGTGGGTTAATAATATCACCATATACTGGGTATTATGCTATGCATTTTTTGTATCAAGTTACTTATTAGTCACAGAACCTGTCAAGTGGGTTAATAATATCAGTATCCCAATTTAAACATGCAGAAACTAAGCATAATGCTTATAGTTGAGGCAGCTTGTAACTATAAAAATATTGTCTTAGTCTATTTTCCTGGTGCTATGATAAAATACTAACTTAAGGGAAAAAGGGTTTTTTGGGGTCACAGGTTAGAGGTGCAGTACATCATACAGGGGAATCAAGACAGCATGAGCTTGAAGCAGCTGGTCACATTGCATCCACAATCAAGAAGCCCAGTAATGTGTGATAAGAATAGGAAGTAGGAATTGGCTAGGCAGTTAGGGTAAAAAGACCCCAAAGAAAAGTAG